TTGCAATATTTTGATGATCTGCTAGTTCAAGCAGTAACAAGGGAAGAGCATGAGCAGATATTGTGTGATATTTGTCAAGCACTGGCAGATAATGGGTTAAAACTAAATACATTCAAAGTGCAGATCTTGAAAGAAAGAGTGGCTTTCCTAGGAGTTAATATAGATCCAGAATGTAAAACACGACGTACAGCAAGGGTGAAAGCGTTACAGCAATTGCCAAGGCCAATGACAGTGTCTAATCTAAGGAAATTTTTAGGCTTGGTAAATTTTTGCAGAGAATTCATATGTGATATGATAGGGATAGCAAAACCCTTGTACAATATGCTAAAAGATAGTGCCAATACAGATAAGCTACTCTGGACAGAGGAAGCTGAAATTAGTTGGAAACTGTTAAAAGATGCTCTCACATAAGTTCCTGTGCTAGCTGCTCCCATTAACACAGTACAATATATTTTGTTCAATGTTACTCAGGTGTCTCTTCATTAATAGCAGTTTTGATGAAAAGGCAACATGGCTCTTTAAAAAAACTGGGATATTTTTCTAAAAATATGTATCCAGTGGAAAGAGGAATGTTTCCTGTGTAAAACAGCTCATGGCTGTATGTTGGGCTTTAGAAGCTACACAACACATTGTGGGATTCGGACAGATAATTTTACAACCCCCCCCACCACCACCACCACCCCCCACACCTTTGAAACTGTTACAAAATTGTCCAAATTTAGGAGTACATAGCCAGAGGGTATCTCATTGGATATTGAAGTTACAAGATAAACCACTCAGGGTAGAAACCAGTAAAATATATGTTATTCCTGATTTGATGGCAATAAAAGGAATACCACATTATTGTCAAAAGGAACTGGAAATAGAATCCAAATCTCCTTTTGAGAAACAAGCAATACAAGGGATGGATGGAACATGGTTTTATGCTGATGGATCACATCATACAGGTTATGCCATAAATGATGATCAAAGAAAAGAAATGCAAAGATACAGATTGCCAGGCCATACGTCTGCTCAGAGAGCTGAGTTAGAATCTGTGAAGAAAGCTCTAGAAATAACAGCATATGACCCAGTGAATATACTCAGTGACAGCAGTTATGTAGTTAAAGCTTTAACACTTCACCTCCCAATATGGAGAAAAGGGGGAATGGTAGATTGTTCGCCAAACGGTTCTCGAACGGTTCGCCACGAACGGTTCGCCGTGGACTCATCATTGAGTAAACTTTGACCCTGTACCTCACAGTCAGCAGACACATTCCAGCCAATCAGCAGCAGACCCTCCCTCCCAGACCCTCTCACCTCCTGGACAGCATCCATTGTGAAGCTGCATTCTTAGTGAGCTGTCCAGTATAAAAAAATGGGAGAAAATCATTTTTTTTTCATTTTTTTAGTTCTATGTGACATTTTAACTGTGAATGTCATAATACTGTTTACTTTTACTGCAATAAAATACACATTTGTATTAAGTGATGTCTCAACAGCAAAACAGCACCCCCTATGTACAGGTTTTATGGTGTTTTGGGAATATACAGGGTCAAACATAGCATGTTACATTTTTTTTTTTTTTCACAAATTTGCCAGATTGGTTACATTGCCTTTGAGAACGTATGGTAGCCCAGGAATGAGAATTACCCCCATGATGGCATACCATTTGCAATAGTAGACAACCCAAGGTATTGCAAATGGGGTATGTCCAGTCTTTTTTGGTCAGAAACACTGGCCAAAGTTAAAAACAAATGCAAAAAACTAATTTGAACGCCAGTGTGTGTGACTACTAAAAAAGACTGGACATACCCCATTTGCAATACCTTGGGTTGTCTACTATTACAAATGGTTTGTCATCATTGGGTAATTTTCATTCATGGGCTACCATACGGTCTCAAAGGCAACATAATCAATCTGGCAAATTTCAATGTGAAAAAACTGAAATGCAAACCTTATATTTGACTTTGTAACTTTTGAAAACACCACAAAACATGTACCTGAGGGGTACTGTTATACTCAGGAGACTTCGCTGAACACAAATATTAATATTTCAAAACAGTAAAACGTATCACAACAATTATATCGTTCGTGTAAGTGCCATTTGTGTGTGAAAAATGCAAAAAATTTCACTTTCACTGACGATATCATCGTTGTAATAGATTTTACTGTTTTGAAACACTAATATTTGTGTTCAGCGAAGTCTTCCGAGTAAAACAGTACCCCCCATGTACAGGTTTTATGGTGTCTTGGAAAGTTAAAGGGTTAAATATAGTGCTAGCAAATTAAATTCCCTGGACTTTCTGCCTGGGTTGTCAGGCAGGTCCCGCAAATTGTAATTAATAAAATGACCTAATTATGTAAAAATATTACATAAATATATACGTAGAATTATTATATATGTGTATATAATTATATATATATATATATATAATTTTTTACAATTATTTTTATGTATATATATAAATAAATATATATGTATGTATGTATGTATATATATATATTGCTGAATTAATGCTTTTGTTATGGGATGAGTGCCAGAAACTATTGTGATATATATATATATATATATATATATAGGTATAAATATACTGATATATATACGTATATACTTATTTATATAGATATATATATTATTTAGTTCTACGTGTATTTTTATATATATATTAATTTTAAAATACAGGGCCTGAAAATAAAACAGAATACGGGGCCGTGCATTCATTTTTATTGGTTGCACTCTACCTATCTAAGAGATTGGTTTGGAGTTCCAGTTATTAATATCTGCCTTGAGTGTTTGTATCAAAGAGCTAAAGTTCTGTGGTTCCAGCTTCCTGGGGTCTAATGTGATTTGAAACTCCAAGTACCGAAAGGTGTTATTCTGTACACAGAATCCATACATTGAACCGAGCAGCACTACGTTCTGCGCATCCATGTAAAAGGGTATGACACATGACTTGTCCAGGTTGACACTAGACCCTGACAGGGTTCCAAACCAATGCAATAAATGCAATTAGCAGGAGGAGAGAAGCTTGTAGCTTGAGCAAATTGAGCAGAACATCATCTGCATATACGGAGGCAGTATACTGAGAGTTCGCTATGATTTCAGTATTTTACCTAATGAAATTAGGCAGAGGCTCCAGTGATAAAGTGAACAAGAGGGGGGAGAGTGGACAACCCTGTTTGGTTACATTCGCCAAATCAAACAGATTTTGTGTTGCACCAGATAACAGTATCTGCACCCTGGATGAGTAGAAATCCCTGAGTGCCCCCAGCAGATCCATAGGGGAAACCCCAGTGGGCAAGCACTTAATGGAACACCTTCTCCAGGAGAAGGAAAATCAGAGAAGGCATTTCCAAACCTGCCACCCACCAGACCAAGGGAAAGGGGCCAATAGTTGCCAACCTCAGAAGGACACTTGCCTTCTTTGGGTAACAATGCAATGTTAGAAATTTGGTTTCATCAGTGAAGGATTTGCCTCCTATTACTTTTTTTGAAAAAGGTGGTAAGTAAGGGAGCTAGTATGCTGCTGAAGATTTTATAATATGCCTCCCCCCATCCCATAGTCATTTGGACCGTGCACCTTCTCACCCTTCAGGGCAGCTATTGTAGACTGAACCTCATTTAGAATGATGTCAGAGCATAGTGTAGTTTTGGCATCCTCTGAGAGTGCTGGGAGCCGAAGTGTTGCAAAAAATAGTTTTAAGTCTAATGTGTGTGTCGGGTTATGTGTGCATATGTCAGATGAGTGGTTATACAACTTTATAGAGTAACCCTGCAAAGATCATAAGATCAGGAAATAGCCAATGAGTCCCTGTGATATCCATATTGCAGCTATTGGCTGGCATCTTGGACTGGGCTTAAGACCCCTGGCAAGCGGAGAGTCAAATTTTCTGCCTGGCCACGTCATCCTGAGGAGTTCCTTGATAGAGTATCTAACTGCCTTCAGCTTCATGAGGGTCTGTGGGGTTGTGTGGCGTCTTAGAGTTTTCTAATTTTCTAAGGGCCTGTTGTAGTTCCAGTAGTTTGCATGTTTTCAGGTGCTTTTCATGGGTGGCCACCTAAATGAAGTGGCTTGTCACAACCAACTTGTGAGTGGATAACATCATAGGTGTCTGGACCTCCATGGAGGCATTCTCCCTAAATAGGCCAACAAGACTTTTTTTTCCTTCTTTATTTTTCAGTGCATTGATAAAAAGACATGCTTGTATTGAGAATAACAGCAAGACTTGACAAAGAAAAATATCTGCTTATGTCAGAGATGCCGCACATTTATTTTTAAAGTAAAAAATAAAAATAACAAGCAAAATGGACAACTTGTCAGTGCAGAAAAAAAATAAATGTATAACAGAGTTGAACGACAACACTTGTGTGTCAAGAACACAGTCAGTTTGCATTATTATGTATACAGTTAATCAGTCATTGCCAAAACAGTTGCTAACTAAGAAATAACCAGTATAAAAAGACATAGTGTGAATTGTGAAACCAGCAAAGTATATCATCCCACCTTGCTCCAAGGATATTAGAGGGACATCCAGCTTCAGTTGTTACATAAATTATTGCATTTTCACCTGGATCTTAATAATATGTGGTATGCAAAGAAAAAAGGATTTATCATCTTTGGTAGTAAACTAAAGCAAATAGGAAAAGACGGAAAGCATCCCACACTAAGACAGCCGACTGTGATGTGACATGTAGCAAAAAGATCATCATGGCAGTCATCCCACCCCCATTATAGGCATCACGCAGTCCCAGAAAGCATTGACCTTCAGGCTCAGAAGTAAGAGTGCCAGCTGAGGATCTTGTGACAGCAGGTTTTTCCCCTTCCGCTCTCCATCTCTCTGCTCAACCCTCATGCTTGTCTTGGGGGTGTATAGTATCGATGCTCCCTGACATTCTGCCTTCTTCAAGGTTGTCTGATGTGGCCTCCACTGCTTTCGGCATGCTGGGACCTTGAGGATAGTTGCAGGACAGCATGGGGTGCGTTTATGTGGTCTGGAAGGAGACTCTACAGCTTCAGGAACAAGTAGGGACAACCTACCTATGAGCTTCTTCCAGAAATATTTGAAGATTATGTCCAAGCATTGGAGTATAGGGGATGTCTCCCCGCAGGAATCCAGGGTACATGTGGCCTCCGCCATTTTGCATATACCTATGACAGTATCGCTGGTGTCTGCAGCACCTCCACGGATCCCTGATGGGACCTTGGAGCCACCAGGGTGGGGACTGGGATTACCCTTGTGAGTCCAAAGGGGGGGGGGGTTAGTGGGAGGTCATTTCCACTGTTGGAACCCTGTCTGTGCCAGACCAGGAGATCGGCCACCTTTCCCCTCCTAGGCCGCACAGGTAATAGGCTTTATGGACAGACACTGAAGACCTTCGGTTCATTCCCGAAGGGAAGCAGCAACAGCCAGTTGCTAGAATTGATTTCTGTCCTGTCCACTGCAGGCAACAAAGAGGGTGCTGGACCCTCCAGGCATCTATTAGTGCAGTTTTTTTTTTTTTACTCGTGCAAGAGTTTATCCTGGCTCCCCAGGTTATGTGAGCATGGGATTCATGGCTTTGCCTTTCTCTCCAGCCTAGGCATGGTGCTTCGTTAAGATCCCTCCCCCCTATTAAAAAGTAGTCATGAACCCTGGTTTGCAGTCAGTGGCGTACAAACAATCCACGGGGCCCCGGTGCAAAACTGATCCGTGGCCCCCCATCCCCTCCCTCTCTCGCCCCCCCACTCTCCAACAGACACACACACACACATACACACAAATACAGACAGACAGATGCATACAGACACATGCACCCATACATACATACAGACCGACAAACACACACACACACACACACACAAACAGACAGGCACACATACACACACACACACACAAGACACACATACAAACAGACACACACACACACATGCACACATACATACATACATACAGACACACACATACATACATAAAAACACACATACATAAGACACACATACACACATACAGACAGACACACACAACACATGCATGCATACAAAGATATACACACATATATACAGACAGACACACACACAAGGCATACATACAAAGACACATACATAAGACACACATACGTACAAAGACACACACAAGACACACATATGTACAAAGACACATACATAAGACACACATACGTACAAAAACACACACACGACACACATACATACAAAGACACATACATACAGAGACACACATACCTACAAAGACACATACACACATACATACAGACAGAAACACACACAAGACATACATACAAAGACAAATACACACAAACACACACACACAAAATATTTTAGTCACCCTCCTGTTTCCTACCCTTTAGGTGCAGGAGGGTGACTGGGGTCCAGTGGTGGCTCAGGTGGATGGGAGTCAGAGTTCCCACTTTGACTTCCTGGTCTTCCTTCCGCGCGGTTCTCAGTGTTAGCTGGGAGGAGTGACGTGCGGATAAGTTACAGCTCTCTGCCAGCCCCCCTACACAGTGCACACCACTGAACCACCAGGGAATGAGAGCCCCCCTCCCTGGCCAGCTAACAAGCAGGGAGGGGGGATGAAAAAATGTAGTAATATTAAAATAAAAAAATATTAATAATAATTTTAAAAAATTATAAAAATGTCCACCCCGCACCAAGGCTCTGCATCACATACACACACACACACACACACTGCATTCATACAAACACACTGCATTCATTATATACACACACTGTAAATAAATATTCAATTAATATAATTTTGGGGGGATTTAATTTTATTTAGAAATTTACCAGTAGCTGCTGCATTTTCCACCCTAGTCTTATACTTGAGTCAATATGTTTTCCCAGTTTTTTGGGGTAAAATTAGGGGTCTCGACTTATATTCGGGTCGACTTATACTCGAGTATATACGGTAATTGTTTTGCTTGCCTCCATTAACTGCCTATTTAATCCTAACTCTGTAGTTGATCTTACCTTATCTGCTTGCACATGTATGATACAATTGTCTTTCAGCATTGGTTCCTGCTCATACCAAGTGACCAAATCCTTAAATTGTCTTGTTTACTAGCAGCTGACTTTGGCTCTGACTGCCTGACTTCATTCTTTGATCTCCCAATGGTACTTGCGTTTGCTTTTGGACACTCAACTCTGTTTACGCTAACTCCAAGGTCCTGCTATACACCTGCATTTCAGTTTATTCTGTTCAACACACGGTAAACATCAAAAATTCACTTATATCTGCATCATCTGTCTCTACTTCTCTCAGACACATCCTAATTCAAACTCCCTTAGCCACATAATGGACATTATACTCTGTTCTCTGTTATGCCTCCACTCCAGTTTTCTCAAGTGCTATTTAAAACTGTGCTATTCTGCCTTCAGGCAATTTCATATTCAGATTGCTAATATTGATTACAATATATATTTTAAACCTCTGGATTGTTGAACATTGTTTCTGCTAAAATGTTACATTATTAAAACCATTCTGTATAGGAAAAGTGTAGTCTAAGGAGGACATCTGTATACACTGCTCAGCCACAATAGTATAACCACTAGGTTAAGTTAATAATTATATAATATATTATATATATTCAGGGCCAGACTGGGAACTAAAAGCAGCCCAGGAAAAAAATTCTATACCAGCCCAATAATGCGTCACGCCAGCATAGTGTGCTGATATAGAGGGTGAAAAAATAACTTGAAATTGAAAACTTACTCGAACGAAAGAACGCATATAGGGCTTCAAAATAAACAAAAGATAATAATATTTGATCCTGATGAAAGTCCTCTATGCAGGACTGAAACGTTGATCTTTTTAACTTCATACTAATAAATTTTGGACTGTTAAATCCGAGAGGGCTGCATCCTTTTTGGAAGAATATATATATTTATATTAATGATATTTATGTGTGTATTATGCATATATAAATGTATATTACTATATGTGTAAATATTATAGGCATAATTATATGTACACACATCAATATACATGCATATATATATATATATATATATATATATATGTGTGTATTACTGTCAGGATCACATCAATTTACGTCTATTACCTTTACCTCGTTTAGTGTATCTTGTCTCCAATTGTCTCCTTTTTTTCCTCTTACAGCGACCCTTGTGCATCTTTTACTTCATCCCAGTCCCTCTGTATTTCTCTTTCCGCCAGCCCCTTTTGTGTTGTTCTTAGCCCCAGCCACTTTGTCTCTTTCTCCCCTTCCAAATCTCATCTGGGTCTCTTTCTAACTCCAGACTCTGTGTGCCTCTTTCTCTTCTCCCAGCTACTCTCTGTCTCTTTTTCCCCAGCCCAGTGTTGCCTCCCACAAATCTTGTGTCACTTTGTTCCCCTTCCCTCCTGTATGTCTCTTTGTCCCCCAACAAACCTTGTGTGTCTCTTTCTCCCCTCTCCTCCCTGTGTTTCTCTTCCCCCTCTCCTCCCTCTGTCTCTTTGTCCCCCCTTCCCTGGTGTCTCTCTATTACCCCATCTGTCCCTGTGTCTCTCTATTACCCATCACTTTGTCCCCCAACCCCTATGTCTCTCTATTACCACTCTGACTCTTTGTCCCCCCCCTTCCCTGCTGTCTCTATATTACCCCTCTCTTTGTGCCCCATCACCTGTCTCTCTATTACCCCATCTGTCTGTGTGCCCCCTTGCCTTGTCTCTCTATTACCCCTCAGTCTCTGTGTGTCCCCTCCCCCTGTGTTTCTATTACCCTTCTTTTTGTCCCCCCTTCCTCTCTTTTTGTCCCCCTTCCCCTTTTCCTATTTTTCTGTGTGCCTGTTGTTACAGGAGGACTGTGGGAGGGGGCGGAGCTAACTACCATGCTCCCTCGCAGTTCCCATAATTCCCAGCATGGACACATCATAGAGTAATCACTACTCTATGATGTGTAGATGCTGGGAATTATGGGAACCGCGAGGGAGCACAGTAGTTAGCTCCGCCCCCTCCCACAGTCCTCCTGTGCTGACAGCTGCATGGCTGTCAGTATCAGTGAGTGTATCGCTGGATTGCTTAGGCGGCCGCCCGGCACACTCACTGATACTGACAGCAGCATAGCTGTCAGCACAGGAGATGGGGCCGCCGGCCGCAAGGTGAGTAATCACCTCAGAGTGTGCCGCCGGACCGGCCACCCGGCGGCAGCTACATGCGGCCAGCGGCCGCGATATTATTATTAAAATATTAGGGAGAAGGGCTCCCTCTCTCACTCCAGCCCCCTAGGTGCCGCGGCCAACCGGGAATTTCCCGGTATCCCGGTGGGCCAGTCCAGCCCTGTATATATTAAATAATTATAATAGTAATGACATCTATCAAGGGGTGGAATATATTAGGCAGCAAGGGAACAGTAGGTTCTTGAATTTCATGTATTCGAAGCAGGCAAAATGGGCAACTAAAAAAATCTGAGTGACTTTGACAAAGGCAAAAGAGTGATGGCTTGAAAACTGGGTCAGAGGATCTCCAAAACAGCAAGTCTTGTGGGGTGTTCCCAGTATGCAGTGGTTAGTACCTACCAAAAGTGGTGCAAGGAAGGACAGTATCATGGGTACCCCAGGGGCATATAATCAATCGCACAAGAGGAAGACTACCAGCGGAGGCAGTGTTATGCTCTGGGCAGAGTTTTGCTGGGAATCTTGGGTTCTGGCATTCATGTGGATGTTACTTTGACACGTACTACCTACCTAGAGATTGTTGCAGATCACATAGCAGCTGACCTCTTCATGCCAATGGTGTTTCCCAATGGCAGAAGCCTCTTTCAGTAAGATAGCGTACCCTGCTACACTGAACCGTCTGTTTGAGGAACAGGACAAAGAGTTCGATGTGTGGCCTTGGCTTCCAAATTCCCCAGATCTCAAACTGATTGAGAGTCTGTGGGATGTGCTGGAACAACAAATCCGACCCATGGAGGCCCCACCTTGCAACTTACCAGACTTGCTGCTAATGTCTTGGTGACAGATATTACAGGTGCAGAGATCTTGTGGAGTCTATGACTCGACAAATAAGAGCTGTTTTGGCAGCACCATAGAAACCTGCACAATATTAGGCAAGTGGTGTTAATGTTGTGGCTGATCAGTGTGCATTGTATATAGTTACTGCGCTCTGCCTGTCTTATATTTATATGAGTGATAATTCTGATTTGCTCTATTGACATTCCTAAGTTTTATTCTCCCCAAAGCTTGCTCCACTGTTTATGAACTCAAATGTCACACTCTAACTAGTATAAAATTAGGTCTTTCAATATACTACTGAAGTTGTTGTGTCTATCCATTACTAATTATAACATTTCCACCACCTAAAAACATAACAGTATTTGTAAAATATAAAGGTTGCATGTGTCCATTTTGGAACATCTAAATGATCACACTGAATTGGTAACATAAATTCACTGGCGTTATAGCCTTCTCTTTGCACCTTAACTTACTTTGGATAAATATTAAGGAAGTGAACTTCCTCATTATCACAACATTAAGATCGAGTGCAGGAAAATTCACACTTTGTTGCCAAACCATTTTAAGAACCTTAACCACTATAATAAGTACCTTTAAGTTAAGAAAATAATCATGAAATAGCTTTTCACTTTTTTTCCAAAACTATAGCATGCACAAGGTATGTTTCAAATGTGAATATATTTAATCATTCACTTCATTTGCTGGTATTCAGAAAACAAGCAAGAAAAATAGAAGCATATGTATTTTTACATTAAAAATCAATTTACATTTTGCGTATATTTTAAATAGATTAACTCTGAAGCATTTAAAGATCAACACCAATATCATCCATTCAAAGCTGAACAATAATAATAACCCTGAAATCAAATTAAAATATGCATTAAGGAGACATGATTGTTGACTTTGGAAGTTCACTAACTCTATCGGCTACAAAAATGTAAACATATACAGTATTTTATTGGGAATATGAACACTCAATGCTTGGTCTTTCAAACCTGTTGAAATAGAACAGGGCAGAGAATTCCATTAGTCTAACAACATACCGCACACTAGAGAATACAAGCTGCCTACAGTATATTTGTATCTGACATTTGTATTCAACTTTTCAATATAAAAGATGAAAAACATAGATTGAATTGTCATCTAGAAGGTAATGATTTACTGTGAAATGTAGAGCATGTAAAAATAACAGGGTAACAATTTCTATATGCATTTCACTTATTCAGTATAAAAATACAAATAAAAGAATCTCCCTTGATCAGGATCTTTAAAAGTATGTCATCATTTCTATAGCTTTGATGTTAGACAATGAAATTCCTTTCATTACAAAGTCTACGTATGCCTTCTGGGTGAGCCGTACAAATTAACATATGTATTTACATTTCCTTGACCCTCTTCAGTCTGGTTTTCTTACTCATCACTCTGTCAAAACAGCCCTATCCAAAGTATCCAATGACTTAGTTGCTGCAAAATTAAACAGTCACCACTCTTCTAATTCTCCTTGACCTCTGCTGCTTTTAACACTGTTGATCACCAACTTATTCTCATCCTTCACAACTTTGGTGTATGAGACTCTGCTCTTTCCTGGTTCTCCTCTACCTTCCAGACCTTTTTCAATGAATCCTTCTCTCCTCTGCAACCCTTCTCTGTTAGTGTTCCCCAAGGTTCTGTCCTAAGCAGCCTACTGCTCTCAATTTATACTGCTTCCCAAAATAAGCTAATCAGTTAATTTGGCTTCCAATATCACTTCTCTGCTAATGACTCACAAATCTACCTGTCTTCTCCTTAACTTTCTCCACCTCTCAAGAAACGTGTGGCCAAGTGCCTTTCTGCTATTTCTGAACTGCATTTTTACTTTCTTTCTTAAAGTTAAACTATCCAAAACAGAACTTCTTATCTTTCCTCCTTCAAATGCTGCTATTTCAGTTTCCATCTCCCTCCACGTCAATGGCATCAAATTTACCTCAAATGTTCGCTGCATTGGAGTTCTCTTTAACTCCAACCTTTCATTCAGCCGTCACATCTATTCAATTGCTAAATCCAGTTAATTCAATCTCAAAAACATAGCTCACATTCACCTGTACCTAACACCAGATGCAGCCAAGGTGCTCATCCATGATCTCCTGAATTGACTACTGCAATCTGCTTCCCAATAGTCTTATGCACTCCCAGCTAACCCCAGTAGAGTCTATAATAAATGCTGCAGCTAGGCTCATCTTCCTATCCTGCCACATCTCCCCCCTCCCACTGACTAGTGCTTACATTGGCATCCCATAAAATACATGGCACAATTTAAAATCCTAGTCTTCTCTTACAAATATCTTCACCTCTCCTGTCTACCTATCTTCACTTATATACAAGTACAGTTGCAATCAAAATTATTCAAACAACATTGAAAATCAAGTTTATTTTATAGACTTTCAGCTTTTTGCAAAGGACGAATCAAACAAAAGCAATTGAAATAGCTCAACACGATGAATGCTTCAAGTGGTTTCCCCAAGTTCAACTGAAAATGCAAATGATGTATCTTTAGTAATTAGTAGAACACACTTTTGCTGTTATGACCTGGCAGCATTTCTGAGGAATCTTAGCCCATTGATTATGAGCAATGGCTTCCAGTTGAGTAATATTAGGTTTGCGTGCTGCAACAACCTTAAAATCCCACCAGAGATTTTCAGTGGGGTTCAAGTCAGGTGATTGTGATGGCCACTGTAAAATAAACATAAACATAGGTAGAACAATAGAAATGCCGTCAAACATGCTATGTACAACGCTATTAGTCAATCAGCATACGCCATAACATATAAGACATATAAGTAACTCCCATGACATCATCCTCTTTCACGCTGCAATTAATGGTAAAGGATTAAAGGACAAAATCAGGAAGTAAGAAGTCTGAAAACAAGAATGTTTCATGAATGCAGGAAAAGGGAAGCATTATATCCATCTTCATTAAATTGAGTTTGAAATGAAAAAGAAAACAAAAACAGGTAGGTTAAATAGTTTGAATAATATTCACCTCCTGTCTATTAACAATATATATATTTTCTACAGAAAAAGAGTTAGGAAAACCTTGAATGTTATAGCAGATAGGAAGCTCATATTCTGCTATGTTTAAAGCTGAGCAATATATTATATGATAATCATTGAAACATTAGTACCAGGTTTAAAGAAGAATGCTTTAAATGTGGAATGGCCAGTCCACAGCTTTTAAATTAGCTGACAAAGAAACTCCTGCTTCAAAAACCTTATTGGAAATAGTCCCTGTAGTGGAATGTGGCACAACCTAGAAACAATACCAGTCATTGACATGTATATTTAACCAATTTAGCTGATGGTTAGCTATGGTTTAGGAGATAAGCAGTAGAGAAGAAGAAGGAAACATTCTAGGGTTCTCTATTCATAAGTAAAACAGTAAACATTTAACTACACACAGATTCTGATGATGTGGGGAAGATAGTTAAAATATAGAGCTAATGTTTGTTTGTTTGTCTGCAAACAGTGAAATGCACACCATGTAATAAAATAAATGTTCTATGTGATAAATCTAATGCTTTAACATCTTATACACATTTAAAAGAGATAAGACATCCTCCAACATCCCTGAAAATGAAACCATATTTGAGTCGGCCAATATGGGTTGATCAAGACTAAATTTGACTTTTTTGCAGTGTTCTGTAGTAGGACCCTAGGGAAATGCACAAAATATTCCTGTTGGCCACATCTGAAGAAAAGCATCTGGGTTGGTATTCAATCTGCAGCATAATACCGCTTTCAAGACACAAATGCCAAACATCTTTTGCCACATAGCTAATAGGTTTTATTTGGTGCCTTCCAACCAAATACAATACAAAACAACTGATCTTGTCTAACACTGTGTGTCAAACTACAGAGTAGGATGAAAGGTCTCCCACAGGATCAATGGGTTTGAACCATCCAAAGTTGGAACAAACAAAAATGTGGAAATGACAGAATTATAAAGATTAAAGAAACACTATAGTCACCTAAATTACTTTAGCTCAATAAAGCAGTTTTAGTGTATAGATCATTCCCCTGCAATTTCACTGCTCAATTCACTGTCATTTAGGAGTTAAATCACTTTGTTTCTGTTTATGCAGCCCTAGCCACACCTCCCTGGCTATGATTGACAGAGCCTGCATGGAAAAAAAAAACTGGTTTCACTTTCAAACAGATGTAATTTACCTTAAATAATTGTATCTCAATCTCTAAATTGAACTTTAATCACATACAGGAGGCTCTTGCAGGGTCTAGCAAGCTATTAACATAGCAGGGGATAAGAAAATCTTAATTAAACAGAACTTGCAATAAAGAAAGCCTAAATAGGGCTCTCTTTACAGGAAGTGTTTATGGAAGGCTGTGCAAGTCACATGCAGGGAGGTGTGACTAGGGTTCATAAACAAAGGGATTTAACTCCTAAATGGCAGAGGATTGAGCAGTGAGGCTGCAGGGGCATGTTCTATACACCAAAACTGCTTCATTAAGCTAAAGTTGTTCAGGTAACTATAGTGTCCCTTTTAAACGTAATGTTTATTATTAGTGCATTAAAATTAGTAGAACATCAGATAAGTCAATCTAACCATAGTGAGTGCAAAAAGATTTTTAAAAATGTGTAGAAAAATAAATACAAAATATAATAAACAATAAATAAACAAATTGATTGAATATAATTAATTCAATTTATCATCAGTCTGATTCCAAACCTTAATTGGAAATACTGATTTTGTGAACAATCTTGTTTATTACTTACCTTTTGGGCACTCATATGTATGATCCTTGACCATTTCTTAAATGGTTGGAATCAGACTGATAAAACATTGAAATAATAATATTATATTCAATCACTATTCTAACTTCCTGTACAGAAAAAAGGGGTCTTACCTCCCTCTCGTTGTCAGATGGGCATGACTTGGCTAGATGATGTGTGTAGTTCCTGTTTGCTAGGTAGGGTGTTTCAAGGCCCATTTTCCCCAGATGTCATTTTTCCAACCACCCTTGAGTGGGATGAGGTTGTTGTGTACCTCATACTTTTCGATCATTGAGATTTGTCTTATTTTGTTTTTTTCTTGGCTATGTATGACAGGGCTGCTATGCAGATATGAAAAACTAAGTATTTAGCCTGTTTTGGGTATATGTCATCGAAAATAAATAAAAATGAGGAGACAGAATTAGATATAGTCACCATTGTTTTATCATGTATAAGTTTTATGATATACTGCCAGTAAGGCTGTAGTCATAGGCAGCTCCACAAGATGTGCATAAATGTGCCTGGTTCACTATGGCATCCCCAACAGGTATTTGGTTTTGTTGGGTCCATAGTCGCTATGCAAGTGGGTACCATTGTAAGCTCACGGGCTATCTAACTAAGCACTTTGTATAAAAGAGCTTCAATGGCTAGTTATCAGCTTACAGACAGGGCTCTTTCTAACTCTTGTATTTGTCTGTGTATATTGTATGGTTCCCACTAATTGTGAGGCACTGCGCAATCTGTTGGCGCTTTATAAATAACAGCAATAAATAAATATACCAGCGATAGAATAATTTTCGTGAGAATTCCATGTGGGAAGCACAGGAGGTTAGCCCCTTATATGTATTTACAAATGTTAACCAAGTAGATTAAAGTAGTGTGCTACGTAGATCTTTCTCCCAGGCTTGCACGCAATGCAAGATTTTTATTTGTGTGTCTGGGTTCAGTAGGGAGTAGATAGTAGATATGTGGGGGTTTTGATGGAGAGAGACATGTAATATTTTTCAAAAGTTCTCAGTGTCGGAGTTGCTGACAAGGGGAGTGTTGCCACATGGGCCTGCCACCAGGAATATAATCGTGCACAGGAGAATTGTGCTGTGTTAAGTAATGTAAATTGTTTTTTCAGTTGGTCAAATGTTAGCAGTTTCCCATTAGCTTACAAACTATTGATATATTTAATCCCACATCTGTTCCAAACTTTAAAATTAAAGTGCGGGATCAGTAAAGCTAGTGTCCTTAGAGGTGAAACAAGTGACACGGGGCAGGGGCCACACAGGAGTCATCGGTTTTGGTCCCATATTGTTAGTGTGGTAGGAAGAACTTGTAGTAGGTTCAGTCTTTGGTGAGGAGGTAGCCACGTCAGGGTGCTTATTTCTATAATTGTG